TGCCATAAGCAGTTGTGTGTTATGCGCACCGAAGAGCCAGGAGGCGTTGCGCTCAGCCACCGCAAGCACCGTTGCAAATAAATATTTAACACATCATAGCGCCTAACGATATGCAACAGTGTCAGGAAGTAGACGAGTATAATTGTGTGAAGAGTATTCCATATTATGAAAAAGTACACGTTCAACAAATAATCAATCAGAGTAAGCGCACGCTTCTCCAGTATGGTTGCGCAACCCAACACAAGCGTGATATTCTGCGAGAAAAGCGTGAAGAGTTTAAGATAGAAAAGCCTGCTATAATTGACGCTGGGCGCTTCCTGCCAATTTTCAAAATAAATCCTTTCCAAACGCTGCAGAGTTTGCACAATTCCACAAAATTGCTGATCTTGGTGGTGGCGCATGATGAATGTATAGACGATGACGAAGCTCTGCGCCACAACATTGAATCGGCCGATTGTCGTTAGCAGCGGTTTCTCCACGAAGTCGTCTAGGTACACCGTGCCATTTACATAGTAAAAGGGTAGCAGTAGCAGCAATGACGCGTTTATGAAGAGACTATAGTAGCACAGCCAACGCGGCAATTGCAGCCGTTTGCGACGAAAGTCAAAATACAGCGAGGAAAAGCCGGTGGCCAACAGGTAATAATACCACACATGAAATATGAAAGCCTTAGCACCAGACATAATCGTGGCTATAAGCGCGTACACAGCCAAACGCTTGGTAGTTGAAAAAGCGACTGGTCATTGAACAGTGAAGTGAGCGCGTGCTTGGCTCGGCAATGGATTGTTTGAACGTGTCATTTATCAAATCGAATCTTAAAATGCTTAATAATGCATTTGTACACTTTGTAAAAAGCTATCGCGCGGAGATGCATTTCGATTAGTCTGCATGACGTATGGAAAAGGTTTTTGAGCAAAGCAATCGAGTCAAGTATCAATTGCATCGGTCGAGCAGGAGATCGGGTTTTGCTCAGCCTTTGAAATGTGCAATGTTTTATGAGATTTTTGAGAGAGTTTCATATTATACACAGTTTGTACTAATTAAACCTTTATTTGAATTTTCTTTGCAATAGAACATTTGCTCGCATGACCTTAGATTAAAGTCTTGAAATAAGCATAATTTCCATTCAAACAATTATTATATTTGAGCAAAAAAACTCTCTTATAGTTATGAACTACCTAATGTGTAATAAGATTGACATTTTACGCACAGCGGAGGGTCAAGATTTCTTCAATTACCAGTTTACCATATTCACTTGAAAGAAGCGTTTCCTCCAGACTTTCTTGATGTTCAATTAAAATTTTTATTCATGTTGAGAATTATATGGAACTGCAGCAGAGTGAGGCTATTGTAGGTGACTCTTTGTATGATGTACATCCAACTCTGCTTGTTAATGGTCACCATACCTCACAAGTCCAAATGGAAGCTTCTATTGTTATTGCGTAGAAAACATTTTTCCACCTAAAATCCCAAGTAAGAATAAATCGGATATTCCACGAACTTTAGGACCACTCACCGTTTCCTCGAGTGCTTTGGATTGCACGTTCATTGCATAAATACAGCCCAATTGATTGATGCACGCATAATAGGTTTTAACAGTTAAGTCACAGATCAAAAAACCCAAATATATATTAAAGGTCAATGCACAGAAGTAAGTCGTACCAACAACTAAGTACCGAAGCTCAGCTCTGTGATCGAAAGTAAAAATGATGCCATAGTAGAGTTGTCGTTCGAGCGAAGTAATCTCATCCAAGAATACGGCAAGCGCCAAAAAGCGGTAGTTCCGCATCAACACCCACGCCAGTTCAGATAGCTGCCAATGCGCCTCCAATATACGTTGAACATCGCCAGCCAACATGTTGAGGCGCCAGCGCTTGCAATGCCGCACGCTGTCGCTCGTTTCCTGCAACAAATGCCTTATGTACCATTGCACGTATTTCAGACTATGACAAATAGACCATAAAAACCAAAAGAAATTGAATGTCGTCAGACGGAGTATGGTCGTGGTTTGCAGCACCATCAACAAGAAATAACAGTTCGACCAAGTCCACTCAAACTCCGTGCCTTGTATGAAAATCACCGCGGTTATAACGATGAGTATGCTCATATTGATATACTTGGCATAGATGAGGCGATTCATGTGCCGTTCGATGAAAGCCACACGCGGCAGCAGCGCTAGGTAGGTCTTCCGCAGACGTCGATACTTGCACAACACGTCGTAGTTAACCCGGTCGATTTTTGGACGTTCCAGTATGATGTATAGCACCGCCAAACTGCGTATGATATTTGTTACATAATCGATATAGGTCATTATGGGGTTCCATTGTATCGTGGAGGAGCGCTTCATGGCATTCCAAAAGATGAAAGGCAGCGATAGGATCGTCCACAGGTTGGCCACCAAAGCTAATGCCTGCATCCACAGTTGTTGCTTGTAAGTGCGCGATGTGGCGTTGTAATGGAATGACGTCATGCCCAGCGTAATGGTGGCATAGTTGTAAAAGCGCTGGTACCAGGGCTTAAGCATAAACATCTTGGGGCGTGAACTATGTCATGTGCCTGCTTTCGAGGGCAATTGAAGCTCTGTCCACGACTATTTACTGCGTGCGCGTTGAATTTCAGGCGACATTGGCGACTCACTACGCTGCTTTTAAGAACATACATAATTATTAACGAGGTGGTGGCGTGCGATACAGGTGATAAGATTTTAAGTGCCATTAACTGAGATTTGACGACCGACAAAATACATAGGCTTAATTATACAATATCGATGGCGCACAAACTTTCGCTGAAGCAGAAGTGTATATCAGTGTAATTTGGAATGACTGCATTGCTTTAATACCAAAACATAAATAAATTTAAGTTGGAAAAGCGAGCAACACATTTATTTCAATTTGTTTGAGCATAACACAAGTTTGTTTTCGAAAAACAATTTGACATATACGACCATAAATATAATGACAGTTTTCGGTTAAATTTTGTTCCAACTACTTAAAATCAGCACGACTCTTATGACTGTGGAATCAACATTTTGGCTCATACATCTATATAGTCATCACCAAGCCGCAGCATCTGGTTAATACGCTCCAGTACGCCGCTTGAGCCTTTCGAATTCTTTCGCGCTTCAAAATCGAATTGCACCAATATGACGATGTGACGCGCGCAGAAGGCCCAAAGAGCCAGTGAAGTCTGCCGGTTCAGTGAGAACATGCCGGCGATATTGATATTCATGTTTTGCTGTTTCAGCTGTAGAGCAAAACTTTCGCACTGCAAGTAGAGTTTAACCCAAATTATAACAATCTCAAAAACAAAAAACAAAAAAAAAATTTCCATTACCTGTCGCTCAAAAGCGGAGCACATCAATGGCAGCACTTGGAAGCGTCGAAGTATTTGCCTGGTCGATTGGCAGGCGATGGTTGTAGCGTCCGCGCCCCAGTACAGCAAATTGATGTCAATGAAGACAATCATACTGGCCACCAGCGACGTAATTATAGACGGCACACTCTGCGGCATATTAATGGGGTCACTTAGCGAGACCACAAAATAGTATCCGTACGATATGTTGTTTAGCAAATATGTTAGTAACACCACAATGATTTGCCAACGGTAGACCGAGTTCAGACGCAACAGCATCGCGCTGAGTCGCGCATGCACCCCCTTTATTTCGTACAGCTCCTCTGCTGCCAATGCGCTAAACTGCTGTAGAGTGCAACTGTTTGGCGGCAATATGCCAGCGGCGTTTTTATGCAACTTCTGCAAAATGTGCAGCAATTCTTTCAGAAGTGCGTTTAGGCGCCACATGCGCTTCCGCACCTGCCAAAGCATGTAGAAGAACAAGAATAATACTGAATTCAAAATGCTCTCTATGAGACTTGTGTACAACGCCAGCATCCATACATAAATGTCCACGCGAATCGCCTGGTTAAATATGCCATAGACTGGAATGAATAGCTGAAGACTGGTGGTGACCATTTTGAGTAATATGACCAAATCGGCCTGTTTCTCGATGCGTGCATTCATCGTCAGTTTATTAAAGTAAGTTGTGTCCAGTTTGAAAATATCTTGCGATATCTCCTTGTAGATGCGCTCACGACGGCAGCGGCTCACTACCGAAAACACAACAACTGTGTAAACGATCAACATATTGACCAAATCGGTGAAGGCGAGTAAGTTATTTTTGAAATTCGCGGTTATATATTTGATGGATATTGCATGAGCACATGGCAGCAGCACCACTGTGATGATATTGGCAATCGCAACATAGAAATCGATTATTCTCGATTCGTATATCTTCTGGCTGTTGTAATCAATGCGAAGTCTGGTGAATCCGAGAAAAATAGCGGTATAGTTCATGAACTGCAAACACAGTGTAATAATTTTTGACATTTTAATTTATCAAGCGAAGTGCAGCCGATTGAATGCCGTTAGCGACTGCTTCCATACCGTAATTGGCTTGAAAACTCCACGAAGCAGCAGATAGCTATCGCCATTCGTCCCCAAGGTACTCAATTAAATTAATTAAATGCTTGTAAAATATACATTGTATGCTGAAATGCGGCCTCATTGCTCAAGTGCGGCATATTAATACTCCATTTACATATCACAAGTACTTAGCTTTCCAAAGAGACACGTGAAGCGAGGAGCTTAATAATTATTAGTGGTAAGCATAAAGCGCTTGGTCGATCGATGTGGATCTGGTGATGCCCCTTTTATCAGTTTATAGGTAACACAAAATACGTATACATTTGTGTTTAAGTTAGATTCATAGATTTTGGATCAATCCGACAACCTAACCTAGCCTCCTTTAGTTATATACATTTGACCTAGCGAGTTCCACCTCCCTTAACCCATCGAAAAAATATAATTTATGGATTTCTGCAAACTTATGTCGAATCGCCACACAATTCGGAATAGCAGAAACGAGTCTTTTGGATAAATTCCAAAGAAATTGAAGGAGAAGAGTTTTTTTGATCTTTAATTTTATTTGATTTCCCTTTCTCTACCAAAAACAGATTCAAAGTACTGTTCGCTATTGCTCTTTCACCATTTTCTAAACTCTTTTCCCTTTAGTAAATTTCAACTGTTATGTTCAGTACTTATCGGACCATTTTCTCCCAGGATTCCAGGATTCTCAGCAAAAGTTGGTGGAAAGATTTTGCTTCAATTTTAAGTACATTATAAATAGTTGAATTTATCTCAAAAGGAAAGTTCAGTTTGAAAAATCTTACAAGAGATTCTCGTCACTTCAACAGAGGCTAACTTAAAATTCTTCAAATCAAAACATATCAACAAGGGAGTCTATTGTGATACTCGAAGTAGCTCCAGATATACGCGACTCATAATCAAATTGCACTAGAATGATTGTGTGCCGTAACATAAAGGCCCCCATAGCTAAAGATGTCTGCCGATTCAGCGAAAACATGCCACCTATTCGCATGTCGGTTTCCTGTTGCCAAAGTTGCAGGCAAAACTCTTCACACTGTAATATAAAGCATTAAAAATTATGAGAAGATATTGACAATGCGCTTGGCATACCTGCCGCTCGAGATTGTGGCTCGTAAATGGCATCGTCCGATACCGTTGCAGAATGTGCACCGTTTCCTGGAAAGCATGTGTGGTAGAATGTGAGATCCAGTAAAGCAAATTTATGTCCAAGAGCGCCAAAAATCCGGTTGACAAATTCGCTACCCATAGGAATGGGCTTTTAATCGTTTCTATCATACCGTTCGACACTAAATATATGAAGTAGCAGTACGAAATATTCGTGACTATATAGCTGAGTACCTCGCTGATAACTTGACACTTGAACGTATTATTAAGACGTACAAGCAATCTGGACAGACGTCCATGCACTTTCGCCAGTTCACCCAAATCGCTGGTAGTAGCAAAAATTAGTCGTTGTAGAGACACATAATTGCCATGCACCCAACCTCTGGAGCACCTATGCATATTCTCCAAGGATATCCGCAACTTTTCAAGATTCGTATTTAACACATACACTCGATAACGTATCTCCAACATTTGAATCAAATATAAATTGAGAGTGCCATAGCACATGGCTATAATAAAGCTGAAGTAAAATGATAGTGACAACGCTTTCATATCGATTTTCTTCGTTGATTGTAAGGTGCCAACAAATGGCCAAATCGCATAGAATAATGAAGTCAAGATTTTCGTAAAATATGTGTGATTCGAGCAACGTTGCATTTCCACCATCGTCGGTAGTGCACGGAAGTATGCTCTATCTAGAGCGAAGATCTCCTTTAGTAATCCAATGCAAGCCATTTCTCGGGTATAACGTGATAATATACTAAATGCTACGACGCTGAAAAGTATTGCCACATTCACGATATCGGCAAGTCTCAAGTTGTTTGTGAGGTCCACAGTTACGTCTGTCACAATGTAGAAGTAGAGAAAAGGCAACGAAACCGCAGTTAAAATGTTTATGATCAGAACGTAGAAAGTAAGTAAGCGCGAACTCTTAATTGTCTGCGTATGAAAATCCACCTTAAATCTGGTAACACCGCAAAGGATTCCCAAATAATTCGCAGACTTTTGTAACCAACGACTTATTGCAACAGCTCTTCCTTGGCGATCTCCCATTTTTTTTTTTTATATTATTCGCCTACCATTCTCATCAGCACACGTTCGTCCTTCTCAACTTTCTCTTTATATCTTACGTATTTGGGTAGAAGTCAAAGCCAGGAAAGCAAAACAAACAAAATGTCATTTTTGTCGCTCAATGGTGCCGTAATACACTGAGCGGAAGGAAATGAATTTTTGAAAAAAAAAACCTGCTGATATCCTCTGTCGGCCGCAAATATATTTGACGCTAACGTATTCATAACATATTGACCCTGTAGTGGCGAACCATTCGAACCATCGTTTAAAAATGGCAGTGGCAAAAGTCAAAATAATGACACAAATAGCTTTCCCGAGAATGTATTGTGTTCCGAATTTCCCGCAGTGTTCATTMGGCTATACACTTAGGTTCCTGTCGAATCTTCTTTTGTAAATTATAATCAAAAATATATTACTAATACTCTCTCAATATAACGGTATACATACACATGAACATATGTATAGAMGTTGCTTCATGCAGATATTAATCAATGCTGATAGGAAGGCTCCACCGCCATATTCAGTTGTCGTTGCGATACGCATCGTGTTAGAGCTCATGCACTGGCAATTCAAGTCATTTTGAGGCTAGCTGCAAGACGCGTCTAGGCCGTAGCGTTGTCCGAAAACATGAAACTCACTCGCATTCRGTTTACTTCGGTTCGAGTACGACTTTCAAACAYACAACGTACGGCCTACAACCCGTGTTGCACTCTACTAGTCAATCTGTTGATAGTTACACCGATGCCGSAACAATTCAAGCTCGACGCTATGAACTTTACGAGCAACTCCAAGGCGCGCCAACTCTTTCAGTTTCTCTTGACGTCATTGTCCTTGACTCGCTCGGTGGAGTGTGMGCTCATTTTGGTGCTTTATTAGTGGCGACGTCACGACATAATCGCGCTCATTACAGACTTTTAGCGCCTGTTTCATATTTATATTTTACACYCGTCATTGTCGGTGCGTCGCTGTCGCTTTTCTTTATTGTGTACTGCAATAAAGCAAAGCGAAATATTGGGAAGTGGCGGGACCAGCAGCCTGTTATACCGGTGACAATTTACTTGGCCATACTCAACCAGGTTTGCGTTTTGAATTTTCACTTAGAAGCGCTGAACGATGAGTTGCAGCGCATAGTGGATGCCGCTGCCGTGTTGAGCGCACAGCGGCGTGTGTGTTCTCAGACTGCAGCGATTCGCCGATTGGATGACTGCTATACTGGATGAGCAGGCAGGCTCGGTGATATTCATATTTTATTGGTATTTTATCACATTGGTATATTTGGTGTACTCTCTAATGAAACCAGAAGGTTTGTCAATGACCATGCCCTTATGGTCCGTTGTAGTCTTCATAATCGCTGGTGCGGCGTACTGCGGTGACTCTTTGGAGGATCCCTTTTCAACGCCTACGGAAGAATTTTTCGACATGTTTTTCAATAACGCAAACACTCTCGGAAGTGTGGCAATTGAACAGATACTGGGAACGAGGTGTAAGTATGTAAATATTTTCATCTTAAATTGTTATAAAATTTATTCTAACTGCAGCTGGAACAACTTTACCTCCTAGAAGCTTGCCACTCATATCAACCGATGATTATGGGCCTAATCTCACTCAACGGACACGTTTTATTGGTGCAATCAAATTCAACGATTTTAAGGTCAATTGGTGTCATTTTGGTGCAGTACGATTAGAAGGGCAGCTTATGATAAGAAAGTGTTTAAGATACAATATTTACCGACAATAGCAGTAATCTAATAGACTGTTCCTAATTTTTTTCATATAAACAAAACTTTTTCTTTATATTATTATAAATATAAATGCTTGATATAAATATCAATAGCTTAATTTGTAGCTTTGTTTGCTCTTATTAAAGCTACATAAAGCTTAGTTAGGTTTCATAAAGCTCATTAGGCTTCATAAAGCTTTCTGGGACTTGTGTGCTTATATATAGCTTTAACGCTATATACATAGCTCTCAACCGTAACAACCACTATTGCAAAAAGTAGTTGCCTCTCGATAAAAGCTCCATTGCTGTAAACTTACAAAAGCTTCATGTCAGAGCGTACCGTCGAGCTTTAATGTTTACAGTTTCCGGTGTAAATATATATATACATACACATTTGCGTAAATTGCCAATATCTGAACATCATAATTTTGAATGGGTGCATTATTTAGTGAGATTCAAAATGGAAGAAAATATTTTAGTAGAAGAATAATCAATGCTGCAAGGACATCGGAAACTACGATTCAAACCAAAAGTGCCGACGATTGGCATAGGACAGCCAAAGTTAAATAAAGTTATACCTCCAAGTATGAGCTTAGATGTATCGCAATCCTTTCCAGACATTTGATTAATTTCACTCCCAATTCACAAAGACAAAAACTAATTTTTATACTCTCGCAACAAAGTTGCAAAAGAGAGTATTATAGT